CTTTCTTTCTTTCTTTCTTTCTTTCTTTCCTTCTCTTTCCTTCTTTCTTGCGTGTAACTGGGGATTGAACCCAGGGTCTTTTCACTGGGCTACTTCTCTAGCTCTTTTTTTTTTTGGTCTTTTTGAGACAGGGTCTTGCTATGCAGTTTAGGCTGACCTTGACCTCACTGTGTAGCCCAGGCTGGTCTCAAACTCTCAACGATCCTCCTGCCTCAGCCTCCCGAGTGCTGGGATTACAGGCGTGTATCACCATGCCCGGCTCTAGCTCTTTTTTTTTTTTTTTTTCATTGTTTTTAATTTTGAGACAGGGTCTCTAAGTTACTAAGTTACCTAGGCCTGTTCCTGGCCACTGAGCTGGATCTCGGGCCCTTCTAGGGTGGGCTCAAACGTGTGATTCTCCTGCCTCAGCCTCCCATAATGCTGGCATTACAGGCTTGTGCCACCAAGGGGCAGTCTTTTATCCCCAGTGTGAGCTGGGGATATGGCTCAGTGGCACAAGTGCCTGCCTGGCAAAGTGCAAGGTCCTGAGTTCGATTCCTGATACCAAAAAAAAAATCCTGAATATCCCCACTGTGGGTCTCCCAAAACCCCCTTTTGTTTACCACACAATAGCAGCGCTTCTGCTCTTGCCCATCCTGACCCGATGAGGGTAACTTTCTTCCCTGGCAGGCCAGTCCTCCTCACCTTGGCCAGGGCGAGGAGCAGGTCCTGCAAGATGCTACTGGTCTCAGACTTGATGTCCTCCTCAACTTCCACCTGGAAACCTGGGGTGGGGCCAGGAGCTCTCTGACTCCTTATCTTCCCCGGAGGGGACAACCCCAGGGCCTATCAAACGCCTGACTCACTCTGTCCTGCCAGCCCTGCTGTCTCCTGCTCAGAGGAGCTTGATGGCTGCCTGTTCCCAGGATGTGAGGCCCAAGTGCTGCCACGGCACTGAGAACATCTCTGGGCTTGAGGTGCCCTCGTTCCCAGCACGAAGCTGCTAGGCGGGAGGCAGCCACTGTGAGAGGCTCCCAGGGGACAGCGGTACAGGAAAGCCGCACCGTGAGGCAAGGTTGCTGGGGCCAGCCCCGCAGGGACGACAGTCAGTGCGCAAAGGGGATGCGCAGAGGGTATGAAGCTGGGAAGAGCCGGGAAGGGCAAAGAGGGAGGGAAAGAGGAAAACATGAAGGTACACCTCCTTACTCAGTACCAGAGTGCTTCTCTAGTGTGTGCCAAGCCCTGGGTTCCATCCCCAGCCCAACAACGAAGGAAGGAGGGGAGAGAGGGAGGGAGGTAAGGGGCAGACCGCAGGCTGAGGTTAGACACCAGAGGAAAAGGGGAGATGCCAAGACGGGGCAAGGCAACCCTGGTTATGAATTAGTGCTGCGGCAGGTGGCAGCCAGCCCATCCGCCAGGGCCAAAGAGGTGACACCCTAACTTCCCCTCGGGCTGCGCCCAGGGTGCCTGCAGCTGGAGACGCTGCCACGGCGGATGGCAGGGGCCTGGGAGGTGACACGGGCATGCCTTGGGACTCTTCCCATGCCTAGCCTTGTCATTACTTTGGAATCTGCCCAGGAACCCCGGATTAATCATTGCTTCTCATTCTTAACAATCACGTGTGGCCAGTCAGGGTCCCGGAGGGCTGTCCAGGGGATGTGGGAGGGGACTGCCCTACCGCTCCCTGGCCCTCTGTGGCCTGGGGGCCCGCCCACATTCTCACGGTGTTTGTAGGCTGTCAGACACTCCTGCAGCTGGGGCGGGGCTCGGGTGGCAAGAATTTCCAGGGCGACATCCTCAGCAGAGCCTGAGGCCTATGGAAATGGGCAGCTGCTCTGAGACTTGAGCCAGGAAGTGTTCTTAGGTGTCGTCAGGGTGGTGACAGAAGGGCAGACAGCAGGCATGGCCGCTTCGCCTAAGGGCTGGCCTGGGAGGGTTAGAGGAGCCCTTCTCCTCCCCTCAGTGTCCGCGGGTCCCGGAGCCCCGCAGGTGACCGCTCCTGGTACCTTCAACGCCGCCCTCAGTTGCTGGGCATCAGCCTGCGCTGTAGGCTGCAGCAGGGCCACCACGACGCTCTCCAGGTTTCCCGAGAGGGCCGCCTGCAGGGTCTTCAGCAGGTCCTAGACAAAGTGACCCCACAGCAGAGGCAAGGGGACCCCTGGGGTCAGGGGTGCCAGAAGTGTGGAGGGCTTGGGAAGATTTGGCTGTTTTTTAAATCTCATCTCAGAGCAGGGGCTGACCTCAGCTGCTTTTGCTGTACCCCAAGTCCCGCAGGGGGCTCTCACCCTGGACCCTGCTCCGGGGATCAGCATCTTACCTGCTGAGTGCGCTCCCGGAAAGCTCGGGACAGGAGCTGCCTCTGCTCTCTGCTGCGATTGGTCAGCACGTCGATGATGGCACTATGGTCCACAGCTGAGCAAGGGGAAGGTGGGGCTGGGGTCAGGGCCTTCGCAGGGTTGGGGCCCTGCTTTGTGGGGCAGACCACAGGGTCTAGGGAGGGGCCAGGTAGGGAAGGAGCCAGGTTACCTCACCCTGTTTACATTTTATCTAAAAAAGACGCAAATAAAATGTCAAAATGGCATGCAAATCTGATACCTATTTAGGCAAAGGGGGCCAGTTTGTGATGGTCAAAAAAAAAAAAAAGGCTTTTTGGAATTGGCTAACATGGCTGAGACTCTCAGATCTTTCTTTCTTTCTTTTCTTTTCAGTTCTTTGTTTTTATGACAGGGTCTCACTATGCAGGTCAGGCTGGCCTTGAACTTGTGGCCATCCTCCTGCCTCAGCCTACCAAGTGCTGGAATTACAGGTGAATACCATTATGCCCAGGTCTAAAATCTCAGTTCTAAGCTGGGCACAGTGGTTGAGGCAGGAGGATTACAAGTTTGAGCCTAGGGGCCGGGGATTTAGCTCAGTGGCACAGTGGCCTGCCTGGCAAGTGTGAGGTCGTGAATTTGACTCCTGGTACTGGAAAATAAACAAAAAACCCCCCCCAAAACCAACCAAGTTTGAGCTCAGCCTAGGCAGTTTAGCAATTTAGCAAGACCCTGTCTCAAAATAAAAATTAAAAAGGGTTGGGGATACAGCTTAGTGAAAGTGTTATGGGTTCAGTCCCCATCATTCCTGCCTCCTGATTTTTTTTTTTAAATCCTTAGATTGGCTAATTTAGTTTAGATTCTCAATTCTGTGTGCGGTAGTATATGCCTGTCTATAATCCCAGCTCTCTGGGAGGCTGAAGCAGGAAAATAACAGTTTGAGCCCAGCCTGATCAGGTTAATGACTTGATGAGACCTTGTCTCAAAATTAAAAATAAAAAATGGCTAGGTATGGTAGCCCACACCTGTAATCCCAGCACTTGGGAGGCTGAGGTAGGAGGATCACTGTGAGTTTGAGGCCAGCCTACTGCATAGTGAGACCTTGTCTTTAAAAGACCAAAAAAAAAAAAAGAAAAAAAAAATCCAGAAGATCAAAAAGGAACATAAAACAATGGTGTACTTGGCCAAAAAAAAAAAAAAAGGCGCTGGGTGGCTGGGTGTGGTGGCACACATCTGTGACCCCAGCACTCAGAAGGCTGAGGTAGGAGTATTGCCATGAGTTCAAGGCCAGCCTGGACTACACAGTGGAACCCTGCCTCAAAAACCAAAATAAAACAAGGCTGGGGCTATAACTCAGTGAAAAAGCTCTGGGTTCAGCTCCCAGAGCAAAAAAATAAAAAAGAATCTCAGTTGTGAAATGTATTATGAGCTGTGTGAGCCTGGGTGAGCCTATTAAGCACCTCCCTGAGCCCTAGATTCCTCATCTGTAGGGTGGGAATGACAAGCTCACCTCACAGGCTTGTGAGGACGATGTGATAGATGTGATGCTGCCATGGGACTGGACATGCAGGGATTAAGGCATTTCGCAAACAGTGGGAGTGCTGTTAGCACCTCCTTCCTGGATTCTTACAGGTCCACTGGAGCACAGAGGGAAGGGGCTTACCCTGGCCTGCGATGGCTCTCAGTAGCCTCTGGACATCCTTGTCCACACTGAAGCTCAAGAAGGTCCTGAGAGTGCCCAGTGTCCCCCAAGCTGCAGGCTGTGAGAGCAGGGGAAATTAGGAGGGGCCTTTCCTGCCTGCCCCAGTGCCCAGCTAGGTCCACTCTCCCTCTCCTATTCCCCCATCTTCTCATAGCTTCTGAGTTGATACATTGAAAATGAGTCTTAGCTGGCAGTGGTGGCACATGTGTATAATCCCAGCTACTTGGGAGGCTGAGGCAGGAGCATCTGGAGTTTGGGGCAATTTGGGCAACATAGTATGACCCTGTCAATAAAAACAAAATCAAAGCTGGGCATGGTGGTGCACACTTGTAATCCTAGCACTCAAGAGGCTGAGGCAGGAGGGCTGCTGTGAATTCTAGGCCAGCCTGGGAAACAAAATAAGTTCAAGGCCAGCCAGAACTGCATCATGAGACTCTGTCTTGAAAAGACAAAAACCAACAACAGTAACAACCCAAACCCCCCCCCAAACAAATAAAAATCCTCCCCCAAGACCATATTTCTAAAATCCCAGCAGTTCCTACCTTGTTGGCAAGGCCCAGGTGGCTGAGGATTTCCTGGGTCAGTGTTGGCCCCGCTGCTCCACTGCTCACGGCCATGGTTCAACAAGCTGCCTTAAGGGAAGAAGGCAGGAGGAGGTGACCGCCCAGGCAGCTCTCCCAGTGTCCCCAGCACTGGGGCCTGGACTTCCACTGCCAATGCTTTTATCTTGCAGATAAAAGGAGAAGAATATTAACCTGCTTAGCAGGCTTAGGAACATGGACCAGAGGGCAAGGGCAAGGGCACGGGGGAGGAAAAGCAAAAAGGAGGCGGAGGGGACAGCTCCCCACTTCACTAAGTCAGGGTTGACCAGAGAGACTGCTAGAACAGCACCAACCAAACCCTCCCTAACTCCAAGTTGGACGCAAGGCTCCTCAGCCCTTGGTCTGAGGTCCACAGCCTAGCAGGATTCTCCTGGGGCAGTGTGGGGTGTTGAGGTGCCATGACCAAGTCCAGGGAGTGGGAGATGCCCCAGCTGCAGCTCTCCCAGGTCGAGCTCCACCACAGGCAGCCCCAAACCCTGCCTGCAGAGCGCACCTGCTGTCTGCCCTTCCCCTGGGGACTGCAGCAGGCTCCTCGGTCACCAGCTTCGAGGTCTGAGCTGAGATGAATCTGTGTCCTTGAGGGACAGGGCCACCTGGACAAGAGAGCAGGCAGTGTCACATCCAGAAAGGAAAGAAGTCTTCCCTTCTGCAAGCAACCGGTGATGCCCCTCCCCAGCCGAGGACCCAGGAGGTCTGGCTCACCCAGAGGTGCTGGAGGTGTGGCAGGTGCTGTGGCTGGTGGCCTTCTGTGTGGGCGCCAGCTCCTGTGCAGCCTGGTAGAGAGGGGGCGTGGGCAGTGCAGGCGGGGCAGCCAGTCAGATGGCCTCTCTTGAAGACCAACCCAGCTGTTGTCTTGGGCCCTGGCCCCTCCCAGACACGGGGAGGGCTAGCTGTGCCAGGTGCCGCATGTGGACACCTCCTCGCCTAGCATCTCTCCTCCCGAAGCTGGGTGGGAACCCACACAGGGGAACTCGCTCAGCCTGGCGGCGCCCAGCACGGACACAGGAGGCTTTGTAAGCTGCGTCCCCTGGGGGACCGAGTGGGCCCAGAGACCCAGTTTCTGTGTCTAGCCTCTGACCGGCTCTGTCACTGGCTCCAGCTCCCCGGGGGGCAGGGGCAGGTCAGACGGGCTCCAGGCTGATTTCAAGGCCGATAGAGAAAAACCTGTTGGAGCACATACCAGCGGGGCACCCCAGCCTGCATCCCGGAGGGGCTCCCGGCTCAGAAACTCCCTGACCACAGCCTGACTAGAGCCAGCCAGCCTGGGGAGGCCCGGGGAACAGGGTGTTTACATCTGTGCAGAAGGAAGGGTGAAGGTATGCAGCGGCGGGATCAGTCAGCAGCCAAGAGACAAAAACGCGCAGGGTGTTCCCCGTGGACAGCAGCTCTGCGCTCCCAAAGTGCCAGGAGGAGGCGGCTTCTAAGCCTCCTTCTGAGGCCTTTTGGCTGCCCGCTGCTCTGGTTGCTCCTCACCAGCAGGTGATGCAACCCCAGCAGCTGGTCTTGAGGCTGTCAGTGCACAGAGCTGCAGGTGAGCTGTCCCTGAGCGCTGCTCCAAGCTCACTGACGGCTCCTGGGGCGGGGGGAGGCTGAGCACAGGGACCCCAGTGCAGTCTCTCCCCCCACTCCCCTCGCCTCCTCTCCTCTGACACTTTTCTGACCTAGCCCAGGAGGGGCCTGCAGCACTTTGCACCAGCGGCAGTGTGGGGTGCACGGGGAGATTTCCATGGTGCTTCTCACTTTTCTCCTGTGAAAGTGGAAATCAAGTGCTTTAGATCTAGAGAATGTGGGTTCAATCCCCCGCTCCGCCACCTGTGCTATTCTGTGACCTTAGCTGTTCTGGCCTCCAAGTAGGGTATGGGAGAGGCTGAGTGGGGACAGAGGTGGGGCCTCTGAGGACAGAGTTTCTGGGAGGAATGGGTGAGGTAATGGTTGTGGTGACACAAGGCAGAGATGTGTCCAGTAAATTAGGATGTTAGGTGAAGTAAACAAAAAATTGGAGCTGGGCATGGTGGTACATGCCTGTAATCCCGGCACTCAGGAGGCAGAGGCAAGAGGATTGCCAAGAGTTCAAGGCCAGCCTGGGCTACAAAGTGGGTTTAAGACCAGCTTGAACTGCATAGTGAGACCCTGTCTCAAAAAGTAAAAAAAAAAGAAAAAATTTGGGCCGGGTGTGGAGGTGCATGCCTGTGATCCCAGTATTTGGGAGGCTGAGGCAGAAGGATGGTCTTAAGTTTGAGGCCAGCCTGGGCTACTTAGTGAGTTCAAGGCCAGCTTGAACTAAATAGGGAGACCCTATCTTAAAATAAATAAATAAATAAATAAATAAAATAAAATAGATGTGGACGTCAGTGGTAGAGCAGCCTGCATTTAGTACCACAAAGAACCCTAACTAATATATAAGTGCTGTTACAATATTATTTTATAACGGTTACTGTTACATTGTCTCTAAGAAGTTGTACCTTGGCTCTCCCCAATGCACCATTTCCAGTGTGGCCACAAGAGGGCATTAACAGCCTCTGTGAGTCTGGAATCCCCTTGGGGCCACTTGACAGCTCTGACTGCACCTGGGACCCTGAGGGGCTCTCAGCCCAGATGAGAAATACAGCTTCTGGGTAAATGGGGTGGGCAGGCTGCCTCAGGAAAGAGCCTCAGCAGCTATCTGCTTACTGCACGCCATCGAGGCGGACCTTGGACAGTGCTTGGGCTGGGTTCCCACTCTCAGGCTGGGTGACCACAGTGCAGCAGTTCCACAGCTGGGGTCCCCACACCCTCATCTCTGGGAACCCTTCAGACTCTTCCGGCTGCACCTGCCAAGCAGGCTTAGGAGGACAAGCAGGAGTGGTGAGGGCACTTGTCTGCCCGGTCCTAACCTCTCCAGCGGACACCTGGAAGACCTATAAGGCTGGAGAAGACATGAGCTCAGTCACGTGGCAGAAAAAAATCCAAGTGGTGTGTGTGCGTGCGTGCGCTCGCGCATGTGTGGTGTTCTCAGCTGCTCTGCTGAAACTTGGGTAAACTCTCCTACTTTTAATCTCGGGCTTTGTTTTGTTCAATAGGAGGGCTGGAGGGAGGTTATTTTCACATTATTATTATTATTTTTATTTTCACATTATTAATCACTTCCCACCCCTGTGCTCTACATTTTTTAGGGATTCAGGGTTGAAGGACATTTTAGGGATGACCTAATCTGCTGCCCTTCCTTATTGATTCAAGGAGCCTAGCCAGGCATGGAAGCCAATACCAGTAGTTCTAGCCCTAGTGAGGCTGAGGCAGGAGGACTGCAAATTCAAGACCAACCTGGATTACATAGTGAGACCCTGTCTAAAAAAATGTGTGACTGACTTCCCAAGGGCTAGGCACTATTGCAGTGTTTCCTTTATGCCTGGATGGAGATGGGGTTGATTCTGGGCTCCTTTCAGTGCATAGGCGGGGGCTGGGGATCTAGCTCAGTGGCACAGCGCCTGCCTGGCAAGCGCAAGGTCGTGAGTTCGGTTCCCGGTACTGGAAAGAAAACAAAAAAACAAAAAACAAAAACAAAACAGTGCATAGGGGGAAAACAGTGACATACAGTGGTTTAGTCATTGACTCATGAACATTCCCTCTGATTTTGTTTTGTTTTTGAGAGAGGGTCTCTGTAGCTCAGGCTGGTGTTGAAATCAGTATGTGGCCCAGCCTGGCCTCGAATTTATGGCAATATTTCTGCCTCAGCCTTCCAAGTGCTGGGATTACAGACATGCACCACTACTCCAGGCCCATTTTGTTTTGCACTTTTTCTTGTTTCGTTTACAAACACGTCTTTTTGCGATAGGGTTTCACTATGCTGTTCAGGCTGGCCTCGAACTCAAAGTGATCCTTCTGTGTCAGCCTCTTGAGTGCTGGGATTACAGACATGTGCCACCACACCCGGCCTACAAATATGTCTGCGAACTCCAAGCCTCATATTGCTATTCAGTCAACACTTCACATTGTTTGATTTGAGAACACAGGAATCTCTTTTGGCTATTTTACTCCTTGTCAGAAACCCCACACCTGAGGCTGTTCAGGCAGGAGGCAGGCTGCACTCCTTACTCAGATAGGCTCCTGAGTTCTACATAGCCCAGACTGGCCCCAGTTGGGCTTCATGTATTTGACCCCTGAGCCAGCCCTCTGCCTTGGGACACCTCAGCAACCATAGAGAGGAAGTGAGTCACCACAAGGCAGGCTGGCCCTGGGCATGGTGGGTGTGGCTGTGCCAGCCCGGAGATGGGGGAGGGGTCCGCAGGGCCGTGATCATAATCTCCTGGTCCAGCCGAGGAGGGTGTGCGGAGCATCCTCCTGAGGCTGGCAGAGAACGAGTGTCCCCTACTCCATCCAGGGGCTCCTTTATCTCCTGGCTGAGGGGCTCACTCTCTTATCTTTATTTCTCAGGCGCTCATTATCCAACTTCTGCCCCAAAACTTCCCCTCCCCACTGCTATCTTTTTTTTCCTTGCGGCGCTGGAGGTTGCACCCAGTGCCTCCTAGGGAAGCGCCCTGCCGCTGAGCTGCACCGGCCGCTGCCTGCCTCTAAACACAAGAGGGAGGAAGCCAGTCCTGTCTTCCCGTGTAAAAAGTCCCCGGGGCGTGAGAAAGCCGGGCGCCTAGGAGACCACCTGACTTAGAAAAGGGGAGACAAGCGGCAGAGGGGTAGGCAGGGTTTACAGAGGGTCGCCGAAGTTAGCTGGGACCCAAACTGGAGCCCCTGGAAGCCGGCTGGGAAAAGGTGCCTGTGTGTGGACTGTGGAACTGGAAGGCCGAGTGGAGGGAGTCACAAGGCCGGTGGAAAGCCACAGGGTAAGACTGGTTAACAAGGGAGGAGTGCAGGCAGGGGCAGAGGAGATCAGGACAGGAGAGGCTGCTGGGAACTAGAAAGATCAAGGAAAAGCCCGGCGCGTCCCTGGGGGCTGGTGCAGGGGACCGGCCAGCTGGTGTCATTTCTCCTCCCAGCCGTGGTCTGAGTGCTAAAGGCAAATTAACAAACAAGCTGGAAGTTAACAGTCAGCTTCTGCCTTGCTGCCCTTCCAGAGAGGCCGAGCTGAGGCCGAAGCCTGCATTAGAGGGGGTCAGAGCCCGTCCAGGGGGAACGGTCAAGCACTTGGACTTGATTAGAGACTCCATGCAACAAGCCGCAGTCACAGCGTAAAACCATCCTTTCATCAATGCAGAGAACTCTAAAAAGCAGAGTACACAGTAGCTCTCCCTGTAAACAAACCCTCAGCACACCCTGGTAAAGCTCTGTCCGCGTAGGAGTCAGGGCCGATCTCTCTGAATCATCAATTTCATCAGCCTGTTTAAGGGCGGAAGCAACTCTGTACCACGAATTAGGGCAAACGTGGTGTACACTGAAAGCTCAAATACACTTTGCAAAACAGGGCGACTCTTTCGGGGCCCGGTCCAGTCGGGGTCTTGCGCGCGGGGGGAGCGGGGGCCACGGGGGCTCTGCCGCTCGCTCGGCCGCAGTGGCGATCGCCCCGGGCGCGGGGCCCGTCCTTCCCGCC